TATATATATATATATATATATATATATATATATATATATATATATATGTATTTGTCAGATTTCAATATTTTTCTATCAAGTCATTATTAAACACGAAAGCAACCATCCCTGACTCCATAGCCTCTTCCAGAAATCTATTTCCTGCTGGTTCACAAACACCCTTAAAGTGATCCAGATGTTAATCGACAGCGTGATTATTCTCAGAACTGGAATTTGGGGTCCGCAGTTCCCTTTCGCTGCATGATTAACTGTGGAGGTGAAATTGCTCACTTCTGAGCAAGGTAACAAAAAGCAACATGCTCAAAAAGTTTGACAACCATTTTGAGGTTAACCGATAACATTGGTGAACACTTAACCTGAGTATGTTTGTCAGCTTTGCCAAACAAGCGCACAGTAATGATTTATATTGAAAGGGAGCCATTTAAGGATCCAGAAACCTCCATGTCTTTGATTGTTCACAGGAAGAACATATTGTGTGGGTGGAGAAAACAAAGGTGACAAAGCAACAAAATGATAAAGGTAAATTTGTCTTCTTTTGTCAGAGAATCACTTAGAAATTATGTCCAGTGGCTGTCGTAGCATTTGCATGCTAACGTTCAATACTAGACCAGGTGTTCTGAGAGTCATTGAGCAATCTGTGATTCTCCAACACAGCTGTTTTTGGAGGAGAGGATGCGTCATTTGGAAGGGGATGATCTCAGCAAAATAGTCTGTGTTATTCTACAGCATCACAAAAATTAAATGCAAACCTTCTCAGCTAACTGGCATTCAGACCCAGCAGTGATTCTCAGTTGTTTTTATTCACCTTACAACTCCAGTTCCTTCCAGCTCTGAACATGTCTTACCTCCATTATGATTAGGTAAATAGAAAGAAAAGGCAGCTGTTTTGTTCTGGAGATAATAAAGAATCCTGCATTTGTGGCATGGGCTGGGTTTGTGTGGCTGTGTCTTATCTTCAAAGCAAGCTCAACACAGCCCACTCAGATGAGTATGGATGAAAGTAAATGGAGGCATCCAGTAACAATAGATACTTAGTGGGTATATAGTTGGAATACAAAACTACTATGGGCAGGCTGTCATACTGTGCTATATGAACAGGCAGAACTATATAAGGAAAGAAATTGCTTACGGTCATGTACAGCAGGGCTGGAGGAAATGAACAAGGGAGGCAAGAAGTTCTATTTGTAAGTCAAGTAAAATCATGATTCTCAACTGGGTGTGCACTTGCTCATTGTCTACAAAACTCTCATATCTGATGAACAGAAGGCTCTGTTTACGGGGCTCCTGGGCCCTAGCATAGCAGTTCTGGACCAGAAGGTGCCAACTTGAAGATGGATTTGAGCATTGAGCTCAAGTGTAGATGGTCAGGAATGTCGGTGTTGTTGGATCACCTGAGCCAGTTGGATGGTCAGTCTTCAGGGGCCATCACTGGTAGTTGCATTTAAAAGGGAATTGCCAAAAGCTTCAGTGTCCTGAAAGGAACCTGCAGGAGGTAGTGCTGGAGCCAGATAAGGGAGTGGAGGGAACTTTCCAACGCTCCTAATGGTAGAGTTCTCCAAAGTTTTTGAATCATCTCTGCTTTTATTTGTACCACTGTTTCCTCTCTCTCTCCCTCCATCCATGCCTTTACCTGTTTCTCCTCTAGGAATCTTTAAAACTACATCTTCTTTTAAAAAACAATCCTTCCTGGAGCTGAGAATGTAGCTTAGTGGTAGAGTGCTTGCCTAGCGTGCATGAAGCTCTGGGTTCAATTCCTCAGTACCACCTAAACAGAAAATTCCTGAAGTGACCTTATGGTCTGAGTGATAGAGCACTAGTCTTGAGCACAGGGAGGCTCATGGACAAAGCCCAAGCCCTGAGTTCAAGCCCCAGCACTGATGAAACCAATTCTTTCTAAAACAATTTGTGTGTCAACAAAGAAGGCCTTCCTAATAAGATTATCAAAGTTTTGTGTGCACAGGAAACATGCCAGGCTTCTGAGAAAATACAAATCCTCAGGCCTGGCCCAGATATTTTGTATAATCTTTGAGTCAGAGCAGGCCAGTGTATCTGCATTTTACCCAGC